AGGATCCGCTGAGACGATAAATCTGTTTCATATGTTCTTCACCATAACGTAAATCTAACGCGCTAATCAGAACTTCATAGTTGAAGTGGTTCTCCGCCGGAATCGTCTGAAGAACCTCTGCTGCTGAACCTCGCAGGGCCAGTATCAGTGCTGTTGCTCGTTCTTTTCCGTTCCAACAGTTACTAGTTGCCGCTGCTTCGAACTGGGTTTTATAAACGTTCCAGGACATCTCTCCGTCAAATGCTGGTACCGTCAAAGTTCTTCCGGATGCGTGATCTAACGGCATGGCCATTTTTTTTGGATTGCTCCAATTCTCGCTTCAATTTGTCTATCTTGTGATCTACCTCAACGGTCTGACGATCAAGTTTCTGTTCGATCATTTCTATTCTTGTTGACTGTTCTTCAATCTGTTCTGCCACTTCCAATTTTACGTGTTTTAACTCCTCTGTCTGTCGTTCGGACTGTTCCTTGATCTGTTGTTTTAACTCTTCTGTCTGTCGTTCGGACTGTCGTTCGGACTGTTCTTTGATCTGTTTTAACTCCTCTGTCTGTCGTTCGGACTGTTCCTTGATCTGTTTCATTTCAGTTGACATACTAAGCAGAAGTTCCATCATTTTAGCGGTTGAAAACGTGCCTGTGCTAATTTCATTGTCTTCATCAGCACCATCAAACTTGAATTCGTCTGGGTTCTTACCTTCGTCGATGAGAGCTTCTCTCAGACGTGCTACTTGTACTTCTTTGTTGCCACTTGTGACAAGGCTTCGTTTCTGTAATTCTCGTAGCTGAACTACGTTCAAACCACACAGTTTTGACATCGTGTTCTTTTTCTCTGAGTAGTAATTCGCTGGTCGAAGATCCCGTGTTCTGACACCAATGTTATAATACTCGCTGTCGTAACCGATTTACGATGCGACGGGTTCAAATCTTCGATTGAATAAAATACTCCAAACAGTTATTAGTTATTAAACTTTATTTACAGAAGAAATCAACTAATCGTTTATTTCCAGCAAATTTAAACTAACGCAACAATTAACTTTTAAATTGTTCAAAATCTATCGCTATGACAACGTCAACAAACAAATCAAATATCGCTTTAATTAATTCACCGAATCGCTATTCACAAAATCACAAAATCACGAATTTCACTAATCACGGATTTCGCTAATCGCTTGCGACGTGCGCTTTTATACTCTTCGCAAGCGTCGTTTCTAGATTCTTCTCGATGGTCCGATTCTAGCATACTCTAGAATGCTCCAGTCACTAGAACATTCTAGAATACGCTAGAATCTAGTGCGTTCGGTAGCACGGTTATAACAATATATATATATATATATATATATATATATATATATATATATATATATATATATATATATATATATATATCATACATCATACATGTTCAACATGACGAGGTCGCTTGTAAACAATGAAGTTTTATATTTTCTTGAAAATAATTGGAGTTTAAGTGAAAATGACTCGTTTGTAAATAATATTGTTGAATTTTACAGTCTTGAAGATATTGATAATGCTATTAAAGCTCTGAAAAACGAATTAATTAATTAGAAAATAGAAAAAACTGAGAAGTTTCAGCCTCGCGAGAATAGGAAATTAGAGAAACTGCTTGAATGTATTTTCATAATGAAATATTTAAAGGAAAATAAATATTGGGAAAAGTGCTCTATATTTGTGAGTTCTAACATAAAAAAGGTTCCAAAGGTCGAAAGTTTGATAACGATAAACTTTCAAATAATTAAACGTGAACTAATTGAAATGTTGCACAGTCAACAGATACAGTTTAATAAACTTGTCGAAGCTGTTTCAATAACAAAAAATAATGTTGTTGAAATAAATAAATTTATAGAAGTTACTGAAAATAACAACATTAATACCGTTAAGTTGGAAAAACTTGTTGATACTGTTGAAAATAAATTAGTAGTTGATGTTAATAATGCTGAAATGAATAAAAATTTAGAAATTAATACCACTGAAGAACTATTCACTAAACCACTATGGTCGGACGCATATGACAGTCCAATTGACGATGATGCCCAGCCATTCTTGCTTGTTAATAAACGAAAGAAATCTCAACAGCTCAGCAACAACACAGAAGAAAACAACAAACCAAAATTATCAACCAACAAGGTAGCAGACTCTAAGACAGTTGAGAAAAAACCAGTTAGAACTATTGGACAAAAAATTTTAGATTACTGTAAATTAAAGACAGACAAAGAATTAGTTAAAAAATCTGTTTTCTGTCTAAGCAACATTAGCAAAAGCCACAGAAATGATGTTGAAGAATATCTAAATACTAACGGAATTAGAGTTTTATCATGCTATCCAGTCGTTAAACAGTTCAAGAAAAAATCGACAGCACAACTATTCTGATGATAAAACTAATGATGATATAGAGTCCTCTATGTTCAGAGTTTGCATTGATAGAAATGACGTTAAACAAATAAAGAACCCAGCGATATTGCCGCAACACATTATAGTGCGCGAGTGGCAATTTAATAAGAAACCTGAAGTTACTGTTGAAAAAACAAAGAAAGATGGATAAGCTAAATATCCTAGATGATGATGATGATGAAGAAAACAAAGTAAGCATTCAAAATGTTTGTAAAAGATATGATAGTGCTAATTTCTTAAATGATGAATTAAAATCACTTAAACTTGATAAATGTTATTTATTTAATGTCATGCACTTAAACTCAAGAAGTTTAATAAACAAAATTGAACATTTAGAAAATTTTCTCTCAGATTTTAAGTTCAAATTCAACATTGTGGCAATTACAGAAAGTTGGCTGACTGAAAAAAATGAAGGACTGATTGAATTAGATGGATACAACTTCGTCTCTAGAAACCGGATTGGGCGGCAAGGTGGTGGAGTTGGATTATTTATCGATAACAAATGTATTTTCAAAGTGAGAAATGATCTGAATTTGTTAGGAAAAGATGATTTTGAGTGTCTTTCTGTTGAAGTTAATAGCAATCAAACTTTTAAAAATTTAATAATAATAGTAACGTATCGACCATCATCACAGGATCAGAAATTATATCTGCAACAGTTAGAACAGGTTTTGCATGCTGCAAGCAATGAAAATAAAGTTATATGTTTGTTAGGAGATTTTAACATTGACCTGTCGACTGCAAATAATGATGTTAGCAAAAAAAATCTTCTACATCTTGCCACAAGTTGCAATCTGACTCCTAATATTTCAATCTCAACAAGAATAAGCACCAAGAAATCTTCCATCATAGATAATATTTTTGTAAATCATTCAGAAAAAATTTCCTTGAACGGTGTGATAATATCTGAACTGTCCGATCACTTACCAGTATTTGCTACACTCCACAATAGTGATATAAACCAGACTTCAAAAATCGATATTGCAGAATCGTCAGGTATGAAATTTTTATTTTCTTTGAATCTATTAAGCATATTGAACAATAAATTACTAGAAACAGATTGGAATTTAGTGCTGGACTGTGACAATGTTGATTTAGCTTTTAAACGATTTATAAATGTTTTTCAACAATGTTTTTACCAATGTTGTTTAACAAACTCTATGAAACAAAAGAATGATAAAGAAGCAATCATGGATATCCGATGAATTAAGGAAACTGATGATTAAGAAAAAAAGATTATATAAACTATACGTGAAAAATCCTAAACAGATCAGATAAACGAATTATAAGATCTGCAATCAGGTATGTAATAACTTAAAAAGAAAGCCAAGCGAAAATATTTTCAAGATCTAATCAACCGAAATAAAACAAATTGCAAAAAGACATGGTCTGGATCTTTATTTTAGTAAACACAAAAAAATATAATTTTGGGATCCAACATATTTTGGCTCCTCTAATTTATAATATGGGGCACTATTTAATGGTGACCATATATGAATATATATATATATATATATATATATATATTCATATATTTACAAATATATATATATATATATATGTATTAATTTTTAATTTAATGATTATCTCATGCTACATACTACTAAATATGTCTTATTACAACGGATATTGTAGACATGGTCAATAATAAATCAAATGACAAAGAGATGCAGCAAAGCCAACAAAAATATCCAGCTAATGGCAAACAACCCAGTGATTGAACATCCAGAAAACTACCAAAATGAATAATTCATAAATTTATCTGTGAACCTGTCTAAATCCTTCAAATTGAATAACAATTGGGAAAAGTATCTAAAAAAACAAAATCCAAAATCTTTCTTCGGTTTATACTCAACAGCACAAGAAATTATTTCTATAACGAAATCTTTGGCTAAAAAACATCTAGTGGATGGGATAACATACCATCAAAAATTGTGGTTTCGACAATTCATTCTACGGTTGAGGTTATTGAATATCTTGTTAATCTTTCGTTCACAGCTGGTGCATTTCCAAAATGTTTCAAACTTTCTAAAGTTATACCAATTGAAAAAGTAAAAGGCATAAAAGAAGCATCAGATTTTAGGCCAATTTCTCTTTTGCCTGCGTTTTCAAAGATATTTGAAAAGTTAATGCATAAAAGAATCATTAATTTTTTTTGTCACAAGTTTGTTTGAAATGGTTTTTGCAGATTAGGAATGTTCTGAGTGGATTCAATTATTTATTGGTAATATGTGTTATATGCATGCAACTCTTTGAGCAATAATTTGTATTTATGAAATTAAATGCTTTGCATGTACTGTGCAACACTACATATCTGAAACATATGTTTGTATAGGTTTTGAATATGCTTGATTGTTTATGTATGGGTGTTAGGATTTATAAATTTGTGAATGTATATTAAATTTGAAAATGTATTTCATTGTGTATTTATATGAGAGCGACTGTGAATGGATGTATAGTAAATGTGTGTGTGTTTGAATGAATGCAAATGCAACACAATGTATAAATGATAATATTGAGTTTATCAAGAATTATTTTTATTGGAATTATAGACAATTACTTAGTTTTTATACTAACATTATTTGTATGGCGAAGTGGCTTTAAATCATGGGTATCTCGGATATCTCTTACAGATATTCCGAGTCTATGATTTAATTTTTTAAGCTCAAAAATATATTACAACTTATGAAACCTTGAACAAATTCTGTTACGGTGACTGTGCTAGATGATTTCATTATAGAGCTCGATCACAGCCATCCCGCCTTCTCAATAATTTATTGTTTATTCTTTTTTTGAGAAGCAAATAAAATTTAAATAAAATAAATAAAATATATATATATATATAAAATATATGACATACGTGTATGTTTAACTTAACCAGCTAATAGGTGTATCTTATGTGTGATATGTGTCATAATAGCGGGCTGAATAATATTGATGACGAAATTAAATCGTAATTAAATATATTATGTTAAAAACACATAAATTACATTATAAACAGATGAACTATGATATGAATGGATGAATTACGTTGTTAACGGATGAACTGTAATATGAATGGATGAATTACATTGTTAAAAGATGAATTATGATATGAATGGATGAATTACGTTGGTAATGAATTACGTTATAAACAAATAAGTTACGTCATAAACAAATGAGTCACGTTAGTACAAACAAATAATTTGTTATTAACAAACAACAAGAAAATCCACAAAGCTTTACAAACTAACAAACAATAGAAACAATTAAGATAAATTATCAAAAAGCAATACAAATAACGGAAACTAAAACAAAATCGACAAACATGACCTGATACGCTGCAACTGGTCAATGGCTTCGTTGTAGCTGTGGCAGTTTTCGGGCTGTGTTGTTGTAAATATAATCTTTATAATTCTTGTACACATCAATATCAATATATCTTCACGCATTGCTAATTCAAACTTCATGTTATTTTAAGCATTCAATTTAGGTCAGTAAAATCTTGAAGTGTGCAAAAGTTCTATGCGTGACAGAACACTCAAGATGGCATGCAGAATAAAATTTTCTATCATTTTCCTAATTTGTGTACAATTTCATATATTTTGACATCAGTTCGGCTATTCCAATAGTGTAATTCAAAAAACCATTTTTTCATATGTCAACGGGGACCCATAATGAACATAAATTCATTGCATCGCTCTAGTACATGTTTGACTGGAATGGAAAAATAAGAATTCGAAAGTAACAAATTTGTCATCCTTAGTAAGCAGTTGAATTCATTTAGTTTTAAAATTTTGATTTTATACATTAGGCACTATGAATGCTGCGTTACAATGATTGTAATTATTTTCTTCTTTTAAATATTTTTAATGAATAAAATAATTCACTAAAGCATTTTTTATTTTGTAAGTTCGTCTTAATAGTCTTCTAAATAATATATACTTTTGCATTAGCTTTTGGTTGAAAATAACATTAACACTTCATCTTTTAAAAATGGTTCGCTAATAGGACCAGCCGCGTAATGGGCCAAGTTTTGATGTGGTCCTATTAACCGGATTCCAAAATACAAATATTTTGACTGAATATTTAAAAACGAAATTCACTACCTGATTGCATTCGTCAGATTCCTTATACAAGATGAATTTCCTAGCAAAAAATCATAAAAAAATTCATATAAAAAAAAGTTGAACATGAAAACTTACAACGCGATTTGAAAAAAAAAATTATACAAAAGTATTTGAAATAGTGGATAAAAATATAGCTGAGAAAGTAAGAAGCAAACAGCAAGCCATCTTAGAGCAAGTTAACATTTTATTAAACCTTTTTGATATCTACATTCATATTATACCCAAATATTTAGAGATATATATTTAAATCAAGTGAAAGATTGTTAACAAATTTTAATGTTTGTAGAATGTGATAGAGTAGGAGCAAACCTATCAACACCCAAGCAGAGCATGAGAGCATAATTGGTCTGCTTGTTCCAAATACTGATCCTCTTACAATACTTCTCATCATCTCTCTCGTTGTGCAAGTTGAAGAGGTTGATGAGAGGAGGGTAGATCTTCGGTAGGATGATTGGGAGAATGAGGGCAGTAGAAGAAGCGACGACACTAGCAACATGGTGAAATTTAAAGTAAGCTTTTGTTCAACCAGTTACATGTAAATAATAATAGCTTTCTTTCTAACAATTTTATGGTTTCACGTTAAACTCTACAGATTTTCCATGTCTGATTCTCTCCCTCAGAAATAGAAAAATGTAACTAAATTGATGGTTCATAGAACCACTCACAACAAGCGATGGCGCAAATTGTCTCTTAGCATTGGAAATGTTGCTGGTAGAGTTTTGCAGAGTGAAAACGATCTTAACAGGTTTCTTGCCAAAATTTAAGATATTTTAAACACACAAAAAATGACTGACTGGCTGAGAAGTGACTAACTGTTTTGCATTTGAAGAAGCTTCAGAGAGCTGATCGTCATCGATCGCCAATAAAACAAATGAATCAGTCGCCGGCAGTTTTGGAAATAACAACCTGAAACAAGTTTTTTTTTTTTTTTTGAAAATAACATTATTGCATTGTCGTACATAAATTATGAGCGTTCAATTCAGAAATAAAAAATTAAATTTCAAATAACCAAACACAGCTTATAATAGTAATAATGCACTAACATTGAATTATTTGCTACGCAAATATTTAATAAACAACTATTTGCTCTTGACCAAATGAGCATTGGGTAGTAGATTAAACGCTAGAATGAAATTTTTTTGTAAACTGAATTTCGGATTTGTGCCGGATTTTTGATCGGCCAATTTTTGGCCGAAAAAAAAACTCCTGCCAAAACAAGATTATCTGGCCCAAACCGAACATTCGGTCGGTTTCTAGTATTTTATCAATCATGTGAGCTACCAGTGTAGACAAGTAATACTTTCAACATGTTTACGTATTAATGATTAATTTTGATTGAGTTAATGAAACTTGATTTCACTGGATGTGTTGACAAGTTATTAGAATGGACGTTTTAACAAGTATGATGATGAAAATAATATTTTGCATAAAGAGAAAAAAATTGGAGGGAGAAATGAGAAATTGAAACAAAAAAACAACTTGGATAAAGAATTGGCAAAATTATAAACCAAAAGAAACGATGCAATCATAAAGGAAGATTCTTTGCAGAATATACTAGAAGCTGGAAGAATACGGTGTCCGATAGAAAACTCAAGGTTTGATTCTTCAGAATATACTGTGAATAGGATGACATTTAACCAAAATCATTTTGGCGGTTTAAGACAAGCGTATTAACTGACGCAGTGTGTTGGTCACTGACACTTCTGAAAACGGTAAAAAGTGAACTTATAAAACAAACGCCAGAATTAAAATGTGAAATATTGAAGGAACCTGACGATATCGTAGATATTATGAATGTAAGCCTTTAACTCGAGCACGGCATGGAACAGCAGTCTAATGTGAGCACTAACCCCAACGTACGTGGCCAGGTACACGTCCACCAAGCAGCCCAATAACAATCCGAGCGGGTGGTAAGAAGCTTCGAAGGCCTGGTAATCGTTACATTCCATGCGTGTCTAATATTTATTAATTTCCACAATGGAAATTAGGAGCTAGCAAGCAAGTAGAAAGATTTGATCAGCAGACAGTAACTGGAAATATTCAAACCTAGTTAAGTTTGTGAATTATTATTTACTAAGGAATAAAATATCCCGTCTAATCACCTTATGAAGGTAAGCTTCAATCTTCAACCAGACTGCGTAGGTGAGAGGATCAGTGCAGAAGTTTGGAATGATGTTCATATTTGATCTATCTTCATGCCGCCCACCAATCGTATTACTTAGATAATTTAAATAGAAAATAAATACAAAAGTAATATTTCAATCTAACCATTTAGTTTATTCATATTATCAATAACTAACAAACCAATAGATAAAAAAATCTAAAAAAAAATCTCAAATCGTTCTCGTCGTCTACACGCACCTGGCATCGGAGTTGGATATAACAAATGCGGCTACTTTTTCCCAAACTTTGAAGCAGTTCTCATTAATCTGACTATCTTTGTTATCGTCACCAAAATTATTCGTCTCAACACCTTTCGTTTGCTGATGATGGAGATGATTGTTCGAGCAGCCAAGAGCGGAGTAGCACTGATTAAAAAGTTCCAACCATTTCTCGTGCGCAGGATATGTCAGCATGCCAAACGATCTGCCAAATAAAGTGCAATTGATGGTTCGAAACTTTTTCTCTGTCGTCCAATGTATAATATAAAGTTTAAATGTTGTCATTATGTAGGAATGGTGAAAAAAGTACACAAATGACAAGATGAAAGATATTGTTATTTAATAAAAACGTGACAATTTGAAAACCATTTTAAAGATCCTCAAAAATTAAAAATTTTTTAAAAAACAAAATAAGGAACAGTGCAACGATTTATATGAAACACTTGAAAAATACTTTGGCAATGTCTGATGTCCGAACACAGTTGCATTAATATTAGGTTCCTTATGTTCAGTCGATTTCTTTAACACGCCTGTAACCTTCACTCCTTCCACAAAGTTGCCCCCAAAACTTCCTTCCAGCGCATCACCATTGGGTAGTGTCAGCACACCCTGGTTCATTCATAAATAGAAGTCTCGTATCATCTCGATCAACATCTTACAATACATTATATCAATGTTAAAGTGTACCTAAATTTAATCTATCACAGAAGTGGGCAAACTGCGGCCCGTGGGTCGCATGTGGCCCGCGAAGCTATTTTATGCGACCCATGTTCGCCAAAAAAGGTCGTCAGCCAGAAAAAGAATCCACAAATCTTAAAAAATTTTTCCCCGGGTCGAAAAAATTTGCCATTTAAGTACTGATCTATCATTATTGGATTGGTTTATGAATAAGCAACTGATATTTCACGAACAAAACAAAAACACCTTGCCGGCAAAGGAGAAGCCAGAAAATTCCCCTTCGTACACATGGTTGTCCTCCGTCATCAGCAATCCCTTGCCCTGTTTGTGCCAGTCAGTTGCCAAGTTAATCATTACACGTACATGCATTACATCAAGTAAAGGCACGAGCATCAGATTAAAGTCAAATAGTATCTGCTAGAAACGAGAGATCACGAAATGCACGCCTTCAAATATCTTCTACTGTTCCAACAAAAGCTATATTCCATTTCAAATTAATTTCTTACACCGAATGATATTATATTCTTCAGGATCACTTAATTAAAAACATTCATTTATATTTTTCTCATTTAGTGACAATTAACTTTCAAATTCCTTTGTATGCCCCAAAGGCCGAGTTGAATTGATGTCCCGTTGAGACACTCGAAGACCCTTAGTAGTCATGTCGTGCCTCTGATTTTTATTTCATCCATAAATTTGTTTGAGGTCAAATAATATATTGACATTGATTGTCTAAGCCAAAATCTGGCTACTCATTTTTTTTAAATTCTACATTATGTTCACACAAACATGTAAATATTATATACAGAGTAAAAACTTGCATACAATCATTTTCCCGCTGTTGAAGTTGCCTTCGAAGTAGTAGCCATCCAACGTGACAACGACTCCACCTCCATGTTTGTTATCTTCCGACCAGCTGCCCATGTACTTCTGTCCTAAGTAGTATTCAATTATAAATCAAAACAATGGTTGTAATAACGACCACAACCAGCAGTAATAACATTTCATTTATAAAGTAATCATATTGTGTCGACAAAACAAATGAGTTAAACGTTCAACGAAATATGATGCCATTCTTCAGTTCTAACTAGCTCTAATATCTTTAAAGTTGGATTCGAGACGCTAGAAACTTCTGAATAATCAGCTAACCCGTTACATGAAAGGTTCTTTGATCATTGCTATAAAGATTTTATCAGCAAAATAAAAGATATCACAATGATCCACAAATATATACATGCAAACACACGCACAAACAAACATACACATACACACAAACGCGCATACACATACAATTATACATATAACCAACCTCTGGGAATATCGTCAAAAACTCCATATCCAGACCGCTTGTCGTTAGCCCACTGACCGTAATAAATGCTGGCAGACGTCGTAATGAACTTGCCCTGCTTCATTATGCCGTGACCATGACGCTTGCCATCCACAAAGTAGCCCTTGTACACGTCCCCATTGGCATATCTGCACAGAAAAAGTCAAGTGACAGTATAATTTTACATTTGATCAGTGGACGGATGTTCCCGCTCTACTCAGTAGTGGCATCCTGCCGGTTCGCACCAAAAATAGCGGAATTGGTGAATTCAGTATAAGTGATGTAATTGCTATGGAAATCCAATGCGGTTTCCAGAGAACGTTGTTATTGTCTGTCCCGATCTATCGACTGTGAAAATCAAAACATCTTACAAAAGAAAGAGGAACGTACGAACTACGTGGCATAAAATCGAAATGTTTTAAAAGTTCACCACCACCACCACCATCATCATCAACATTGAGCGGTCTTGTTAAACACGACAATATTCCTCCACAACTTCTTATCTTTCGTCAATTTGATCATTTCGTCAATTAAATGCTCGTTGTCGAGATCCTCCAGGTGTTCAAGATATCTGCGAATCTTCGTTCGGTAGGAGAGATGAGGTCGACCTTTTCTATTTGTTCCAACATTCAATTGATGAAGGACATAGATGTTTGCCAACTCACTTTTGTACTTTCGAAGACAGTGTCCGACAAATTGCATTTGTCTTCACTTGATTAACCCACTGAATGGGGTTTGAATAGCTATCTTGTACAGCTCTTTGTTGGTCATTTGAGCTTCGGCTTGGTTGATGAGTTATATATTCAAAATACCAGTTGTCTACTTGCACAAAATCTGCTGAAAAACTAAATCAAACCAAATACCACCGACCACTATACAGGGGTCCTACTCATTGTGGCACTCATTTCGAGTGCTTCATACTGCAACATTTTTTGATTTCATGTTTCACCAGTGATGTACACACAGATATATCAACTCCTTAACACAGTCAAAACCATAAAAAACATCAAAGATAAACTACAAAATAAAGCAAATGTGTAATGTGTGGATGGATGTACAGTACATACATACAAAATCACACACCACACACAGACACACACACACATAAAAGGTTATTGCAATTCAAAGTAATACTAAATACCTCGTCATTGTAAAATTTGGCCACCTCATAAAAAGCGTAGTAATCATTCGCCAAATATTCAAACTAAACTTATAGTTTTTTAATTCATTAACTGGAATTTCGCTAGAGTTGCTTGCAATTAAATAAAAAAACAACCGATGATTTATTATTAGATTTAAAACAATCATCCTACATGTTGCAGTTTGAACTAACTTTATGGAAGCGAATCCATTGAGGAGGCCCTTGCTCCAGACGCCCTGCATCACCTCCACACCACCATCCTTCTGCTGGGTCATCGTGCCACACCCATCCATCAGTCCATTCAGGAACGACCCCACGTACTTCTTGCACTGCTGCACCCAGTGAAGTTCGCCTCTACACGTTGTGGTCAGTTTATAGGTCGGTTGGTCGGTCAGCAATAGTCAGCTGATGATTAGGTGCCAGTCAATAACTCGAGTGCTGACAAACTAATAAACACCAAGCTGATGAAATTTAATAACAGGAGAAGAAACAATCAACCATTATGTAATAACAACCATTGAAAGTTAAACAGAAACCTGACATTCAAAACAACGAAAGATACAAATACACAAATGAACAAAGAGGAAAATAAAAAACAATCGACCACGCGTCAACAGACAGACAGACAGACAGCCAATCACAAACTTTCCATGCATCAGAGCATTCCTCCACTGGCCACTGTATACAGCGTCCTTCAGCCAGCCAGACTTCACGAACGTGTACGTCGCGTTCCTCTCCATCGGAGCATTCAAGCATGACGACGACGACGATGAAGATGTGTGGTTCCTGCAACTTCGACTGAGTGACTGACGGATGGCTTGTTGCAGTGACCAGATCCATTCTGCCTGTTGTTGGTCATCAGTTGTCGTCACACGTTACCAATGAAAAATTAAACGTAATGAATGAATGAATGAATGAATTGTATTGCATAGCAGATTTGTAGAGCGCCTGTTGAGCTATCTTTAGAAGCGCTAATTGTGCTTCGTTTTGTTGAAAAAATGATGTTTCAACTGTCTTCTGAACACCTCACGACTGATGTTAGTATCAACTTTTAGGTCAAGCGGCAATGAGTTCCAAGTCTCGGCTGCTGCAACAGGACACCTTCTTGCACCAAGATGAGATGTTTTGAACGGAGGACAAACAAGACCTCCGTGTTTTGTCGATCACAGTCAATTTCTTTCAGAAACATTGGAAGCTGAATCTAACATCTCTTTCAAGTGGGCCCGTGCCTTTCCGGCTAGACAGATTTTTACCATGAGAACTATTTAAAATCGTATTCTGTCCCCCACCAATAAATTAATGAATGAATGAATGAATAAATAAAAAAAATGGAAAGATTAAATGATTGATTGAAGAGATGAATGACTAAGAGAAAATGATTGAGAGCATGAAGTAGGAACCTTATCGGAGTGGGTGGGGGTGGTGAGGACCAGGGTCTCTTCCGGGGTCATCATTGTTATTGCGTTCCTATATTTTATTACATCAAACATTAAACTTCTGAATATATTTATTGAACATTTATTCATTCAACTATCTCATTACTCATTCACTTATTCACCCACCCATTCACTAACCCACCCATCTCATCATCCCCATCGTCTTCATCACCACATCCTCATCCTCCTCATCATCATCCCATCATCATCAGCGACCAACTTGATATTCTTAGTATCGGGATGAAGCTCTACCCAGAGGACAGGCAGCTGATATATCGTATACCCTGAGTACTGAGTGAATGTTGCAAGTGATGATGATGATGTGAAGTGAATGATGATGATGATGTGAATGATGGCGATGATGTAAATGATAATGATTATGATAATGTGAATGATGATGAGCATGGTGGTGATGTGAATGATGATGATGATGCGAATGATGGTGATGAGAATGATGATGATGTGAATGACGACGATGATGAGAATGATGATGATGAGAATGATGATGTTGAGAATGATGATGATGTGAATGATGATGATGATGATGTGAATGATGGTGATGATGTGAATGTTGATGATGTGAATAATGATGATGGTGAGAATGATAGTGATGATGAGAATAATGATGATGTGAATGATGATGATGATGTGAATGTTGATGATGTGAATGATGATGAGAATGATGGTGATGTGAATGATGACTTCAACTGTGAAGATAATGAAATTGATAATGACGATGCAAATGATGGGAATGTCAAGGACGAAGATAACGATGATGTAATGTAACAGATGATAATGAAGCCTGGCAGTGTTGCTAGTCACGTATAGAAATGTAAACGATTGCTTAATATAATTTTTCTTAAGATTTGTTCAGGTTTACAAATGCGAACTATGATATATACCCTTGCATGACTTTGAATCTTGTTATAAACAATTTGATCCAACTTGTTCACGAAATGCCACCAGCAGTAACTCGAGACATTGGAATGACACTTCAAAGCATTTGTCTCTCTCTTCACACACTCTCCCATATGTTTCTTTCATCTACCTCATACTTTCCTTTCTTTCTTTTTCTAGCCGACGTTCACTTTTCAATTTTAGCGTAAAAATTGGACGAATAGGCAAACATGAAGGACCATTTTTAGATATTAAAAGTGAAAGTGATTGCAAATCACAAGAACACACGGAGAACTGACGTGAACTTGTAGGAAGCAGTCGCTGAACAAAACAAAGGAACTCCATGAGAACAATCGCGAACCTCCGCTGGCCACACTGATCGGATGCAACTTTCCATCCCTCAGCAGACGACGTGTTGGCTTCAGAGGGAGCACTTCCTGTTTTCAAGTTTCAATCGCGATTCAACATCATCAAACTTGTCATTTTCAAGAATGTCAACGTGAAATATTTTGTCTTAAAAATTATAATATAATTCTGCTATAAAAACTGATGACTAATCTATCCGAAGAAATGTTTAATCAAAGATTAATAAAATTAAAAAAACAGCCAATTATTCGTTCGTTTTGTCCAAAACATCAGCCAACCAACCAACCGACCGACCGACCGACCGACCGACCGACCGACCGACCGACCGACCGACCAACCAACCAACCAACCAACCAACTAACCAACCAACTACCGACCAACCAGCCGGCAATGCAACTAACAATCAATTTGTTGTGGGCTCCTCTCCAGTAGCTGGCAGTTGTGACCGCCTTGTTGTACTCAGTGTCAGAGGTCTGCTTCAACTTCCTCCACGCCTGACTGCACCTCTGAAGTTCTGCATGGATGCTCGTGTACTGCAAAGTCAAACGTAAAATCAGTCTCATAATAATAATAATAATAATAATAATAATAATAACAATAATAACACAACGACAATCCTTATTACTATTATTTATATTATTACTGTTTTCATTGATGCCACTTCCCTAAAAGAAATGTACAGTCAGGGCTTGCTTTCTTACATTTGAACCATTCAAACCAACATCATTCTGTTGAAACTGAGCATTGAAATGAAGCA